ATGGAAAGTCTTTCTAGGTGAGCTAGATAGATTTGTTGTCTGAGTATATTCCCATCATTAACAGATTTGTTGTCTGAGTGTATTCCCATCATTAACAGATTGAGAAGTGAGTAATCTCTATAAAAGAGAACAAAAATTGTATATGTTAGGACCTGGTTCGATCACTAACTGATTTAAATCAGCTGTGTAATTCTTTTTAAAAGATTCCCTACATGTCCTAGCTATATCACCTAAATAGATTTCGCCTTTGACAATCATTTCTTGAGAATATTGAACATCTTTCTCATGGTATATATCATAATCACGAATTACAACTGTAGTCCATTGCTCAATATAGGTTGGCAATAGTTGAGGATCTATTCCTCCTATGTTTAGAAGAAGATTAGGCATCTGGAAATTTGGTTCTATCGGAAGCCTTTTGCCTAATGTTGTATATTGGTTGTCGCTAAAAACAACATTTTGTGGTGATACTCTTGGTGGGAAACTAATAGAGTAACTGTGTATACCATCTGGTTCTAGCCGGTAACTATGAGGTTAGAAATCATTTGATCCAACATTTGTGTTTACTAACCCTAGTGTCATCGTCGTCAAAAAAGGTGGTCGGAGCGACGCGATGATTTTGAAATGACTCGCGTTTTTTGAAAGAAGTGGTTCAACGCCTTTAGATTGTCTGATAACCGGGATGAACCTAAAGGCGAGGTTTTTGAAAGGGTTCGAGGAGTCGCCATCAGTGTTTTAACCTTAAACACTGAAAAAGGTAAAGAAAAAGAAGAAGATAGTGGTTTTAGAAAAAACCAACTTTGGTCATTACTACTAGAATCGGGTAAGAGAGTTAGTTACGTGTGGGGAAGGTGTTAGCACCCCACAACGCCCCTTTCGGGTTCCTTATGATGGACTAGTTTATAAAATAAAGACTAAGAGAAATTAAGCTTTTACCCTATTTATTTATCTATTGGCAGAATTTAAATGTCCGCATGATCCTAATATCTAATGCATACAAGGAAAGTAGTAAAAGAAAGCGATAAAAGATAAGAGATATGAAGGAGAACCTCCGAAGCGAGCTTTTATAAATCTTGAACTTAAGGACGCTTTTGGCGGTCCCCGCACTCTGCAGAGTCACTCCTCCCTCGAACAAAAAATAAGAGTACCACCCTACCAAGGGTCGGACGTCTCAAAAGTTTCCTTAATCGATTTCTACCTTAAATGGAAATCGGAAAGCTCACTCGAACTTTGGAATAATGCTCGGAGTCACTCTAAAGTGCCAAAAGGCTTCCTAGAGAGTGTATGAGTGGAGAGGTGTGTGGAAAAGTAAGAAATGATGGCCTATTTATAGGAAAACGAGACCAGGAAAAAGTGGACGGTCGTCCATGGCAAAAAGTGGCCATGGACGGCCATCCATGTAGGGTGGACGACCGTCCATAGCCAAAAGTTGTCATGGACGACCGTCCAAGCTAAATGGACGGCTGTCCATAGCCTTAAAGTTGGCATGGACGACCGTCTGACCGTCTCGGACGGCCATCACTGTCTCTGGCGGATTTTCCGATTTTTATTGCCTCTAAAAACCCTTCATATCTTAAATGAAACCTAAAAAAAGCTACTAGGGACTTAACAAAGTCTTGATCATTTTTGAAACGGGTTATTTTCGGCTTTATTAGGGGCGGAGCAAGATTTGGGGTCTACACGTAATGTTGATAAGGGTTCCGAAATTATGGATACATTATCTAATGTATCACTATCCAGATGTATCTTCATCATTTGTGTTTGCTAACCCTAATACGGATAAGGGTTCTGAGACTTTAGATAAATTATCCAATGTATCATCTTTTTCATTTGGATAAAAATCATCGAAAAATGCATTTATAATATCGTTCATCTCATTAATGATATCATTTTTTTCATTAATTTGGACATTTTCATTTGTCTAGGACAAAGAGTTTGAAATTCCTTGTTTGAACATGGCTATAATAGTCTGATGATGATTTCATTCTTTATCAGTCATGTCGTCATCATCTTCTTCCTCATTTTCTATGAGATTCATCATAGAAATGTTTTCGTTATTAGGGATAGTAGAAATACTATGCATATTATCTACTGACCTATCTTGTTCTAGGTCTAGGTTAGATAGAGTTTTAGAGAACCAATCTTGTAGTTCTTTGTGTTCTATTAACAAGTCATCTAGAGCATGTTGATAGACTTTATCTGCAATTGGGTTAGATAAATAACCTCAATGATTTTTTCCGAGTGACTTAAAGTATTTCATATACTCTATTTTGTCAATTAGTTTTATCAAATTTTTTAGTTTTCTAGAAACCTCTTCTAGAAAAGCATGTATGATATTTATATTTAGAATAGACTTTTTGTATCCTATTAGAGGGGATTTTATAATTTGTTCAACAGGTGTCAAAACTATCTGATTGTCTTTATCTAAAATAATTTGTTCAACACTTAACAAAGTTGTTTTATAATCTTTGTCTAAAGTAAATGTTATAATAAGTTATAATAAGATATTAATAAAAAAATGATTGATTTTATAATAAGTTATAATAATGTTAATAATTAAATTGATCGAGATATATAATTCAAAGGACAAAAATATTAAACGAAGAATACGTAAAAAAAAATTTCAAAAAGAATGATTCACTCCGTTTTTTTCCCAGATTTCCTTCTTGCTTCGTCTGTAACAATAATGATTGGTCCCAATTTCATTTTGCAATGGTTGGAGTCATCGCATATTTCTTCACTCCTCTTCCTACGGATTCACACCATTTTGTCTCATTCTTTTTTTCTCTATTTCCACCGCTACACATTGAGTAATACAAAATTATAGGGTCTTTTCATACCTAGGTGCATGCATTTGGTCTTTGACTATGCTTATGAGTTTGAATGCTATAAACCAGCTTGAACGTGTTAGCACACTGCCATTTTCCCTTTCCTAGCAAATGATCCCTTTTTCTTCCTTCAGTGCTCTGAATGACCTGGCTGTTGGTGCTGAATTTTGGGTTTTCTAAATTAATGCATATTTTTCCTTTTTTTCTTTGACAAGGAAGCAGCTCTCGAGTGATGAAGGTTCAGAAATTGGACACAAATAAAAGAACAGGAAAAAATTAGGTTAAAAATTAAAATTATGAAAAGATATTTTAAGGAATTGACTCGGAAGAATAAGGAGAAATTATGGGATCCAGAAACAAGAGCCATTAAAGAATACTATGAATTTTATTTTGGGTTTATAATTACAAGCTGACTGTTTATTTCTACAAATTAGAAAAACAAATATTATTAGTAATTAAACAAATATTTAAACAACCATATTCGAGACGATAAGATATTTTTATTCTAAATCATTTAACTTTATATATTTAACCTAATTTGATCTATTTTATTTTAATATTTTATTAAACATAAAAAATAAATAATATTTATTATAAATACATTTATAAATATTTAATAATAAGATATTTTTTATAAAATAAAATACATTTATAATTTTAATTATGATAAATATTATTTTAGATGTATTTTTAATTTAATAGTTGCAACTAAAAACATAGTAGTCATTTTAAATATAGTTTCAATTTGATATCAGATAAATAATAAATAGATAAATAAATAATATTAGAATTGATAAAAAAATTTAAAACTCTAAATTATTTTAGAATTTATGATATAATATATAAAGTAATTAAAAAAATGTTTCTATAATTTAAAATCACTTTATATTTTTTTAATATGATTATATAAAAAAATCATTTTAGATATATTTCTAATTTAATTATTTAATTTTATATATATATATATATTATAAAATTTAAATAAACATTTTGATATAATTTTGCATTAGTTAGTCTAATAAACTTTTAAAGTTAATTTAAAATTTATTATTCACATTTTTTTCGAAAAAATTACATTGCTTTAATTATTCACGTAAGAGTACAGGAATAATATCTCTTGAGCAAAAAGAATATTAAAAATATATTATCTTAATAATAATATTTATTTTCAAAAATTTATAAATATATAATAAACTATTATTTTAATTAATTTTGAGGAATAAAATAAATAATTTTAAAGGATTTAATTTTTTTACATTTAATTAAAGGTAATCTCATTTTAGAACGGATGTTAGAGAGTGCTGATACATTCTATGTGCATAGCAAATCCAATTTTTGTTTAGTAGACCACCTAATGTATAGATATAATCCTCACCATATCAAATTTTTAAGAAAGAGCTAGTAACTTATATATTTGTTTTTAATAAATAAAATGGATTTGAGAACACAAATATAAAAGAGAGAAGACGAAGATCCTCGATGAGACACAAAATAATTGGACTCATATAATTTACATATAAGTATACCTACTAGATTTGTGTAATTTACACAATTTTGATTCTCGTTAAAAAAACAATTTATTCATCTTAATTTTTTTTTATAAAAGTATTTTTTTATCATTCATATCAATCAAATCATTCACAAATTTTCTTCTAATTTTCTTATATTTCCTATAATTTTTTCCCTACTTCAAACCATATCATTTTCATCTATTTTATTCCTCAAATTTATCCTCAAATTCAAATAAAATATTAAGTTTTTTTAAAATAAATATTAAGTATAAAAGTCAATAATTAGAGAAAATATTCATTCTATTATCAAATTGGTAACTAATATCATCCCTAACTCTATCTGCCATTTGTTAAGCGAAAATTATTAATACACGTTTTAAATAAATATTTGATGACTAAATTCTCTCCGAAAATAATGATGATGGAAACTCAAGAGCAGCTATAATTACTACTTGAGATTGGACAATGTCAAATAGTGACAGATAGAACTGGTGTTACGTCTCAGAATTTAACAAACTATTCACTTTCTGCATATTATAATTGATTCATTTATACTTTTTCACTCATCCAACTAAAGAATATCTACATGCACTTCTTCGTCTGAAGTCATCTTCTTCACTTATCTCAAAGTTTTCAACATATTGAAGATTTGAGGAAGGGGATGGCGATTGAGATCACTGAGCTGGAAAAGGTTGAAAACTCTGGATTATCTGTAAATGGAAATGATGAACTGCTAGATGATGATGGCAAGCCAAGAAGAACAGGTCATTCTTCTTCTTCCACTCCTAACCTATCAATTTTCTTCATGTAATTTTTCGTTTCTTTGGAAATCAAACTTCAATTCTTGAATATTATAGTTGTTGAGCGAGGCAACAGAATGTATAATAATATAATTAATAAATACTCAGCTACAATTAAAACTGTGACATCTTTTGTAGTTCTGATAGATTGCACTTTCATCAAATCAAACCAAGGCATGTTTCAGAAATTTATTGAAAACCCCACTAAATTATTGTGTGTTGTGAACTACAAAACTCGAAGAATATGCAAGAAATGACGCATCTTGAAATTTTGTTTTGATGATATGAATGCAGGGACAGTATGGACTGCAACTGCACATATAATAACAACAGTTATTGGAGCTGGGGTGCTTTCTTTGGCCTGGTCCATGGCTCAATTGGGATGGATCATAGGTGTTTCTTCCATCTTTGTAATTGCCAGTGTTACACTCTACACTTCCAATCTTCTAGCTGATTGTTACAGATCACCACATCCTGTCACTGGTAGGAGGAATCACACTTACATGGAGACTGTGAAAACCCACTTAGGTATATCCCTCAATGCCAAAATCCTTTTCTTCTGCTTCTTCCACAATTCACATTCAAGTTTATATATAAGACTTTTTGAAAATTGTTAGGTGGTAAAATGCATTGGTTATGTGGATTCATCCAGTATGTCAATCTTAGTGGCACTGCAATTGGATACACAATAACTACATCTATAAGTGTTGTGTAAGTTCTTCTATGTTCTTCTTCCTACTTAATTTGATAGCTAGGGTAGAATGCAAACATGTTAGTATATTCATATAGATGGAGCTTGTTTTTCTTTTAATTCGGATGAAATTTAAAGAATACAAAATTATAAGAGAATATTGTAAAATATATATACATGCAAGATTGTTTCTGAAGCACCTTAAAAGCATTTTATTTATTTATGTTTACTTCAATTCATCTGGGTTGATCTTTACATCAAGTTTATTACTGCAAATTGTCACATATGTCAGGTCAATGCGAAAAACAAATTGCTTCCACAGAAAGGGAATTGAAGCTCCATGTCGTTTTTCTAATAACCCATACATGATTACTTTTGGAATTGTAGAAATATTTTTGTCTCAAATCCCCAATTTCCATGACCTATCTTGGCTATCATTCATAGCATCAATTACGTCTTTTGGTTATGCATTTATTGGCGTTGGACTTTCTGTTGCTACCATCATTCAAGGTTAATTCTCCTTCATCTTTTTCATTCTTGAGTTCTATGAGTTTCAAAAATGCCACATGAACATAGAAACTTCTTCACGTAAAGAAATGTTCCAAAATGTACAGTACTAAATTGCTTTCACCATTTTCTGTTGTCTCTCTAGAATTCATGTATAAATATTGGTTTTGCATGTCTAAATAGGGAGTGAAACAGGAAGAGAAAGGAGTACCTTTTTGTTTGGGGGAAGCAAGGAGCAACACATTGCAGACAAAGTATGGAATATGCTGGTGGCACTAGGAAATATTGCACTTGCCAGCAATTACGCTGTAATTGCTATAGATGTCCAGGTATGAACATGATGATTGTAAAGTTTTTGAAGAAATGAATAAATGATGAAGTTATCTTCTAAACTTTTGTATAATGATGGTTTTAAATAGGACTCTCTAAAGTCATCACCACCGGAGAATAAAGTGATGAAGACGGCGAACAGGATAGGAATGTTGACGATGGTAATCATCTTTCTGTCATCTGCTTGCTCTGGCTATGCAGCGTTTGGCTTTCACACTCCTGGTAGCATCCTTATGAGCTCTGGATTTAAAGACCCTTTTTGGCTTGTTGACTTGGCCAATGCCTTCATCGTTGTGCATCTAGTTGGAGCATATCAGGTCTTCTTCACTCACTCTTTCTTAATGCTCCTTCTAATCATACAATAATTTTAAATCCTTGATCCTATCTTAGTTTGTTTATGTTAAAATGGGCAATGATCTTGGATGAATTATGCATATGTAGATAATTACCCAACCAATTTTTGGTGTGGTGGAAACTTGGGCTAAACAAAGGTGGCCAGAATCAAAATTTGTGAGAAAGGAGTACACAATCAACATTGGAAAAATGAAGTTTAGCTTGAATTTATGTAGGGTGGTTTGGAGGACCATGTTTGTGATGGTGGCAACCATTTTGGCCATGGCAATGCCCTTTTTCAATGAAATGCTTGCCTTTTTGGGGGCTACGGCGTTTTGGCCCTTGGTCATCTATTTTCCAGTTGAAATGTTCATTGCCAAAGAAAGGATGAAGAAAAGAACAATTAAATGGTTTGGACTTCAAACAATGAATGTTTCTTTCCTGATATTGTCAATGGCTATTGCATTTGCAGCTATTCGAGGGTTGGGCGAAGCTCTTCTTAAATACAAACCCTTCATGTATAAAATGTAGTTTAAATGTCGTAGGTCTTCTAAGTTTAATATAATTGTGTCCTTTATTATTTTTATTAGAGTGATTTTTTAAGGTAGTACCATCCTTCATAAGTCCTATTTATATATAAAGTCATTGTCTATTAAAACAGTTGGTAATTTTAATTATTTTGGTCTCCCATTTATTGGAACGAGACACATTGGTCCACTGATGCATTTAAAAAAAATTATATGTTAAAATTAAAATAAAAAATATTATAATTTTTTATCATATTATTAAAATATGTAAATATATTGTAATATTATAATTTAAATTATAAATATTAATCAATTAAACTTAAACTATTGACTTATAAATTAATTCATCCACTATATTTCATGGAATGCACTCACGTCTATAACTTGTTTTGAATATGATGGGTTACTTTATCTTATTTCATTTTTTTAACTAGAAATGAGATGAGTTGATCTGTTTTATCTTAACAAATTTTTAAAATAATTTAAAATATATTAATGAGTTTATTTTAAATAATAATATAATTTAGTTTACATTTAAATAAAATACATGTTTAAAATTAAATAAATTTTTTAATATATTTAAAATAATTTAAACTAAGATAAATATTTTAAAAATTATAAATAATCTGTTTAGTTAATCAGATAATATTTTTTTATGATGAACATTAAAAAAAATAATATTTTTAATAAATAATTAACTTTTAATTTTTTATATTTATTAAATTATTAAGTTCACCTAATCAAATATTTTTCACTCTAATCAATAAATTATTGGGTTAACATTTATATTATTTGTAATTTTTAAATTATTTATTTTAGTTTAAATTATTTAAATATAACATACGTATTTTATTTAAATTACTTTTTATTATAAATAAATCTTTAAAAGTATGTTAAATTATTTTAAATCATATTTTTTAATAATTTAATTATTTTTTATTTTAAATAATTGGTAAGGAATAAATTATATTATTATTTCAAATAAATCTTAAAATATATTTTAAATTATTGTGAAATATAGTTTTTTTAAATTAATCATTTTGTTTTAGATATATCGTGAAAAAATATTTAAAGAAAAAAATGTAGATGAGAAAAAACTGTAGTATTAAAAGTGAGACGAAAAGAAAGGGAAAAAGAAATGTTAAGTAATATGATGTGTGGAATGAATGTGTATTTTATTAAGAGTAGTGATATTTTGATAAGCAGAAATCATATAACCCTTTAAACAACTCATTTTTATTAATATAATAATCTATAGAATGATTTAATAAAAATAAAAATAAATTAAAACTATTATTATAATATTAAAAGAGAGTTATTTATAGGAATTATATAGATTTGAGTTGTTAAAGTATCATTTTTCTTTTATTAAATGATTTTAAGTGGTTAAATAAAGTTATTGGGTGACCATACATAATAAAATTAGATTATTTTTCTTTTCTTAAAATTTGGAAAATAAAAGTTGTGTAAGAATAATTATTGAATGAAATAAAACAATCAAACTACCACACTAAATTAAATGTTTGAAATTCCTTCAAATAAATATTGAAGTTTTTAAAAAGTTTGATAGAAGAGAGAAAAAATAAACATTTAAAAAAAGATTGTTATTACGAAACTATAATAAAGGTTAATATATAATATATTCTTAGGAATAAATATTAAATTGAAATTAAAGTTATTACTATATAATTAGATATATTATTTAACGATCATTTTAAAACTAAAATTATAAATACACGATATCACAAAATTTAGGATTGTAACCATATCCGTATAGACTTTGATGTGCCATGTATACCATAAAAAAATTACCATATAAAGAAAAACATGAAAAAAATTTGATCATTAGTTTATATATTCAATAATTAATTATTTTATTATATCTAATAATAAAACGGGTTAGACCCGTTGGTCAGTGCATTGATTCGTTTTTAAAAAAATATTAAAATAAAAATAAAAATATTATAATTATAAATATGATTTTTATTATATTATTAAAAAATATAAATATATTATAATATTATAACTTAAATTATAAATATTAATTCATTAATTTTTAATTTTTAATTATAAGTATTTATTTTAATATATAAATATAATAAATTTTAATTTATTTAATAAAAATATTAATTAATAAATAAATTTTAATTTTTTTATATAATTAAATATATATTTAAAAGTATATATATATATATATATATATATATATATATATAAATATATTAGCATATACTAGGTCATCAACTCATCCTTTGATGTTGGATTAAGAATCAATAATATGTCTTAGTGTAAGTCAACTCATCTCATCTCTATCCGTTTTTTTTATCTTATTTATTTTTTTATCGTAAAAAAATATTATTTTTTAAATCATACTTTAAAATATATTTATAAGTTTATTTTAAATGATAATATAATTTAGTTTATATTTAAATAAAATACATGTTTTAAATAAAATAAATATCTAAAAATATTTTAATTATTTTAAATTATAATTATTTTAGTAATTTAATTAGTTTTTTATTTTAAATAACTTGTAAAGAATAAATTATATTATTATTTAAAATAAATCTTTAAATATATTTTAAATTGTTGTGAAATATAATTTTAAAAAAATTAATCAGGTTTTTTTATTTTAAATATCTCGTGAAAAAAATATTTAAAGGAAACAAAAAGAATGAAATGTAAACTGAGAAAAAACTGTAATAACGAGAGAGGGAGGAATAGAAAGGGGAAATAAAGACTTTGATGTGCCATATTTATCAAATTACCATATTTAAAAAAAAATACATAAAAAAATTGATGATTAATTTATATATTCAATAATTAGTTATTTTATTACAATAAATAATAAAATCCAATAATATTATGTGTTATCTCTGAAATGTATTAATAACAAAACTCTACATGCATATTATGAGAAGTTTCATTTCAACATCATACTATATTTATTTTCATTCATATACTCTTTTGTTTAGCGTGTTAACTTAACATTATTATACGTGAATGTCGATTTGAGTTTGCCTTCAATACTCCATAGAATTAACTTGATTAAGACTCTAAGGATTAAAAAATATATATTATTCATGTTTAATTTAAGAAATATATGTTCATTTTTCCTCGTAAAAATATTTAAATCTTAAACCCTAAAATTTAAATCCTAAATCTTAAAATTATTTTCATAACCATTCTGCTTCAAGAATTGTATTCTTTTCTAATTTAATTATTAAAGTTCTACCTTTTTCTTTGATTTATTCATAATATATACCTGAATTATTATTAATTCAAATTTTATCTCAGACTAAAATTGTCTCATGACAATTACGAATTTAAACTACTTTAACAAAAAAAAACATTTTAATCTGTCGAATTTAATAAAATATATTTTTAAATAATAGATTAAAGAATATTTTAATTCTTTGAATTTAATATTCATTAATTAAACTTTTATTTTATTTTAAAAGTTTTTTTTTAATTTGAGGACCAAATTTAGAATCATCTTAAATTTTAAAAGCTTAAAAAAGCATAATTAAGTCTTATTAAATTACTTTATATTATCTCAAAATACTTGATGTGTGTGTTAAAAACATTTACATTTATAAAGGGGTGACATTGGTTGTATACTTGGTAGCATTTTCATAATTGCAAAAAGTTGAAAGTTTGAAGCTTTGGAAAAGAAAAATGAATGAAGTGGAGGATGTTGCAGGGGCGATTAAAGGTGGTGTTGATTCACTTCTGGACGATGATCGCAAACCCAGAAGACACAGGTTTCTTTCTCAGTCCAAATCTTCTTCATGCAAATATTTTAAAATTTTCAATTAAAATGACCTCATTTTTTCTTTTTCTTCATCTTCTTCGTCATGTGATTATTGTTCTCCTTTGACAAAATTATCATTCTACTTTGATTAATCATTCAACCTTACATTTACAACTTATATATAGTTAATTCATGTTTATTTTTCATCATGTATATTGATAAATATATAATTTGTGTTTAATTTTCATCATGTATATGCATGTTATTTATGATAACTAAATATTTTAAACAAAATTAACCTTGTGTAAAATAAACCACTCAGTAAGAAATAAAAAGATTAATTTAAACAAATTGTTTTCAAAATTAAGTAAAAACCATTGATTAGTCAGGTTCATCACCTTCTCAATTCAAAATTATAATTCATGTTGAGATAATAAGTCTGTTCTGTTTTATATATCTATTTTAAAACTTATTCTTAATGATAATTTTTTTATTGATTGACAAATAATTTGTTTAGACTAATAATATTACATCAAACATTAACGTTATCTACAGTTTGATTCATTTGATTTTTATAGTAATATTTTTTCTATATTATTGTTTAATATTTTTTTAAAAATGTCATATGCAGTTACTTATGGTCAATGTTCTTTTCATTAAATATTTTTAAAAATAATTAAGTTATATGATCTGATATTACATTATTAAATATTTCAATTAATTAAGAAATTTAAAAAAAGGTTTTCTCATAATTATAAGTTTAAAGTAAATGCCAAATATGTTATGGATTAATTAATCAAAACCTTATACATACTTCCTCTATCTTAAAATTAACATTACATATACATATACATATAAAAGTTTGACTTTTTTTAGTCCAGTAAGGTTCTTAAATATTTTTTAATAAATTAAATAATTTTTTTATCTGTAGTTTTGTCTATTTTATTTATTTTAAAAATAATCAACTTTTTATTTTTATTTAATAAATAATTTATTTTTAATATTTAAATAAGTAATTCTAAAATTATTCATTTCAAAACAGTTATTTGAAGTTTAGGCTTACCTATGTTCCTCTGTTTAATAATATTAATGTATAAAATTAATGCACACAAATTTTTGAAGAGTATTTACAGATTATAAAGTAATTCATTATTTAATTAATAAAAAATTAAGTTAATTAAACTGAAATTTATAAAATATTAATAATTTTAGAATAAAAAAACTAAGATATCAGTGATTTTGGAACAAACAAAGAATATAACTACGAATTTGGATTGATTTCTGTACCAAATAATAAGCAAAAGGGTCCCCATGCATAATAAATGAAAGGGGTTGGTAAAAACTCAACCTTTAAAGACAACAATTTAGATTTATTTTTATTGGAGGTTACCTTTATTACAAATTAAAAACTATTACATCTCAACCCAATTATAAAAAAAATATTTAATTTCTCACTTATTCAAATATTAATTAAATACATTTTTAATGTTTTTTATTTCATAAAATTAAAATTTTTAACCTTTAAATTACCAGTCCTATTTACTACAGGCGATGTTAAAGATAAGAATATTTATAAAATAATAAAAATTAATAAAAATAAGATATGAAATATTCTTATAGTTTAATTTACTAACCGTAATATTTTCTATTTGACTGTAAAATAAAATAAATTTGACTAATTCTCTTGTTTTTAAGTAGTGATACAAATTTATCCAAAATTGAATGAAAATTATGTAAGTATTATATTAGAAATGAAAATATGATTAATTCAATCTTATAAATTTAATTAGTGAAGAGAGATTTACACTTTAATTATATATTATAAATTAATTATGTTTTTAATGAACGTTTTGATATATTTTCTCATTTTCACACTATAGATCAACAAATCTTGTTAAAATAAAGTATGATACTATTTTAATTAAACTTTACGAAATCCACTTATAACATTTCTGCAGTTGGTAATATATCTTGATGGTGGAGATTTTTGAATTCTGAGTCATTTCATGCATCTTCTGCAGTTAAAAATAACTATATAGTGTCCAATACATACATGGAACCATTGATTGTAATTGTTGTATATAGTGACAAGTTTAAGCTTGGAAGAGAAATAAGCAGGGACAGCATGGACAGGAAGTGCACATATAATAACAGCAGTGATTGGTGCTGGAGTGTTGTCTATTCCTTGGGTCATGGCACAATTGGGATGGATAATTGGCATATTCTCAATCTTGCTCCTTGCAAGTGTCAACCTCTGTACTTCAAGTCTTCTAGCAGATTGTTATAGATCACCAGATCCTGTCACTGGCAAGAGGAATCATACTTAAGTGGAGGCAGTAAGAAGCATCTTAGGTATGTAACAATGCAACTGATTAATCTGTCAAATCTCATGTCATGTCATATAATTATTTTCCAAAGCTCAATTCTGATTGCAATTTATTTGTCAAATAATAAGGTGGTAAAATTGCCAACAATGGGTCCTTAGCACTGATCTTGAAACCAAATAATATATTATTAATAAATAATAAATAAATATAAAAGAAAAAAAAGATAAAAGATAAAATTGTAGATATACTTAAATATATTAAATGATCATTAAGTTTGAGAGAGATAAAATTATAAATTATACGAGAGTTTAAAAACTAAAAAGGGACTGAAATGATAAAATTGTAAATATACAAGTAAATATATTAAATATTCATTAAGTTTAGGAAACCAAAATCATAAATTAGATAGGAATTATAAAACTTTGTAGGACCATAACTCCACTCGGTTCCAAGAAGATCCGCTACAGATAGCCAAGATATGTGGACTCCTCCATTACAGCAACCTTTTTGGACTAGGAATTGGTTACACAATAACCACAGCCATAAGTATGGTGTAAGTTCTCTGTTTTTCAGGTTACTTGGTCTAATGATAGAAAACAGTGATTTATCACAGTATATAACATGTTTAAATAAGATTGGTTTAAATAAAGATACCTATTTTTGTTTTAGTTTCCTTAAAAAAAACTGAGATTTTGTTTTTCTCTGTTTGTCTATTTTGGTTCTCAAATCATATAAGTCAAAATCTAGCAATGTATATATCAAAAGTGTGTTTGAAAATATATTTATAGACTTGTGAATTGAAAATTATACTTTTCAAAGTAGCAAACGTCAAAAAAAGGGTATCAATAGTCCCATTAGATTTCTGCTTAATTTTATAGACTTATTTGTTGCTAAGGATTGCATGATAGGAAGAGATTCAACCAGAATAAGTATTATTATAAGTAAAAAGTTTTTAATTCAACCTCCATTGAATCAATCCAACATTGTTCTGCACTAGATTCAACATAAGAAGATGGTTCCTTGATGGACGACACTAGAGATGAAGGACAAAAATCACATTAATTAAAGGAAAAAGATACAAAAGGGTATTTTGTGTTCAGAGAATCAGAGGCAGTATTTAAGGCAAAAGAACAGGATTTTGTGTATAACTGATAAAAAAATAACAGTAATTTTGTGTGACTTTAGTTGTATCATTGAAACTTGATTTAATAAGTGCATATTTCAGGACAATACGAAAAATCATCTGTTTCCATCAGAATGGAATTGCAGCATCGTGTCGTTTTTCGACCAATGCATACATGATTGGTTTTGGAACTGTAGAACTGTTTTTGTCTCAGACCCCACACTTTCACAAGCTTTCTTGGCTTTTCTATCATAGCCGCGCTCACGTCTTTTGGTTATGCATCAATTGGTGCTGCACTTTCTCTTGCTATGCTTTTCCAAGGTTAATTCCCTCCTTCTTATTCACTTTTTCTTATCTTTTTTATTTTTCCATGAATTGAAGTTTTTTTATATCTCTTCTATAAACAATTATAAACTTATCTTTATCTCTTCTGCATCTCTCTTTTTTTGTTATGGTTTGTGAAGATTATATTTGAGTAAACATGTTTTGAAGCAGGGAAAGGAAAGAGTACCTCTTTAATGTGGGGCAGCAAGATTCAAAGTCCATCACACTTCTGGAATATTCTCATTGCACTTGGAAACATTGCACTTGCTAGTTCCTATTCTCAAATTGGTGTAGATATTCAGGTTTTCTTACCCCAAAAATTTTGTTCATGTCTCCTTAGATTAAAGAATGATTTATTTTGTTTATAAGTTAGTATTTGAATATTAATAAACTAAAAAGTTCTTTAAAAGTATCTTTTATTTTTCATATTTTTTTTAGGCTAAAAACTAAGTTTCATACATTTTTGCATCTTGTCACTACACTTGAAAACGATTTACACTGATCTAATATGAAAAGCAGGACTCTTTGAAATCATCACCACCTGAAAATAAAGTGATGAAGACGGCAAATAAGATAGGCGTAGGCACTATGACAACTTTTTTCCTGCTATGTGGATGCTCTGGTTATGCAACATTTGGTTCAGACACACCTGGAAACATCCTACTCAGTTCTGGGTTTAAATAGCCCTTTTGGCTAATTAACTTAGCCAATGTCTTTATTGTTGTGCACCTGGTTGGAGCATTTCAGGTTAGGATACATTGCCTTTCATCTTGTGATACAGTCAAAACATTTTGTTCACAAAGTTCATAGGGTCTGTTTAGAATCAACATTTGCAGATTAAAACTTGGATTTAGAAGGCCATTCATAAACTTCATAAGAAAATCATTTAACATGTGTAAAAGTTTAAGTAGGGTGAAAGTTGAATTTCCTAAATAAGCTTTTAGATTGGTGCTTTGCTGATAAAAGTCTATCTGATATAAATTAATTATTGAAAAACCAATAGTTAACCAGTAACTTGTAAATTTCTTGTTGCAGGTTGCCATCCAACCCATTTTTAGTTTAGTTGAAACATGGGCCAGGCAAAGGTGGGCAAGCTCAGGTTTTGTTCATGGGGAACACCCCATGAGCATGGGGAAAATGAAGATCAAGCTTAACTTCTTCAGGTTAGTTTGGAGGAGCATATTTGTGGTGATATTGACTGTTTTGGCTATGGCAATGCCCTTTTTCAACGAGATGATTGCGCTGTTGGGCCGTAGGGTTCCAGTGGAGATGTACATTACAAGAAAAAAAATCAAAAAGGGAATGAGGTGGTTTGGCCTTAAAACTTTGAGCTTGCTTTTCATGTTACTGGCAGTGGCTAGTGCATGTGCTGCCATTCGAGGCATCTATCAATCTCTTCACAAATACAAGCCCTTCAAGTATAAAGAGTAGCTGGCTACTGAGTTCTTTGTCACTATCATCATGTCAAAACTTTCACAGTACTCTTATGGATAAAATTAGATGATAATGAAGAAAAAAAACTGTCAAAGTATGCTTATGTGAAAAATATTTATCAATTTAGAATTTTTAGTTTAAAAAATATTATCTACAAAATGGTGGGGGTGGAAGAAAAATAGAGGGATCTGAGACAGAAAACAAGATCAGTTTGTATTTTTAAATTTCATCCGTTCGGCTATATTTAGAACTGGTTTATGCAACTAAGGTTTATTTTTATAATTAAATTTTGTAATAGATAAATATTTAAATTATATAAGTTTTTTTTTTGGTTTGCAGTAAATTATTTAAATTATATAAATTTATATATATATATATATATATATATATATATATATATATATAAAAGTAAAATGAATAATAAAAAATTAATAAGAAAAAGATAAGTTAACTCTATATATTACATCATGACTTCGAGTGCCATACTTTCCTACGTTACCAAAAAAAAATCTAATCAATATAAATATTTAAAGTAAATCACATATAAAACCTAAATGTGATTTCTGTTTAAATATGATACTGTAGGGAATATTTCAACCCATATAAGTAGGATGCTGGTGAAACATTTTAGGTATTATGTGGTTAATTAACATAAATTCAGTCTCTAATCTTAATTTTAACGTCTAAGAGGACAAAAATTAAAGGCCTTCATATTAAAATTAGGTGTTTGTTTAGATTGAGAGATAAAATTGATTGAGTGAAAAAGAAAAAAAAATAATGAAAAGTGAATTTTTGTAATAGAGAGAAATAAAGTGAAAAAAAAAATGATAGATGAGAGGATTAATTAAAAATAAAATAAAATTATTTATTATAAATTTTAATAAGAATAAATTTAAATTTAAATTAAGATAAAATTTAAGATGAAATAATTATTTAAAAATATAGTAAAATAAATAAATATAAATTATTTTTATAAATTAAAATTATGTTTATAATATTTTACAAAAATTATTTTAAAAAAATATAATCAAATTATTTTTATATAGTATATTGAAAACATATTTGAATGAAAAAATGTGACTAACTGAGATTATGAAAATTTTATATTAAAATAGTTTATAATATAATTAATGGAAATTCAGGAGTTGTAAATAAAATAAAACAAATGTAAAAATACGAAAAATAAATGTACTAGACTTCTACAATTGTAGAAATAAGAAAAAAAATATAGTTAATAAAAATGTCTAAGCCCTAGGGTAAAATAATATTTTACTACTTCTAGGCTTCTCACCATTTTTTAAGTCTTTATTTGAATTATAGCGTAAAATTGGGAGAATAAAAAAAAATAAAGAAAATAATAATAAAAAATATAATAATTCTTTTAATATTTTATTTATTATTTTAATGATATTATTAATTATTTATTATTATAAGAATTTTATTTTAATAATTTTTTCAAATTATCACATAATCGATTAATTGTTTAATATAATCAATTATATATATATATATATATATATATATATATTATTTGCCTTTCTTCTTCACATGTAAAGAGGAGATATTTTGATTATTGGAAACTAGAAAATGAGGGTTTTAAAAGTACATCAAAAATTCAAATTTCTGTATGTGTTTTTATCTCCCTTAAATCCCTCTACAGAAAAAAACAAACAAGTACTAGATAATTTTAACTGTATACAATAATATTATAAAAAAAGATTTATTTAAAAATTAAGAATTAAATTTTAAAAAAAATAATGTTATTTTAAAAACAGTCTTTCTCTTATTCACAAATTCATTTTTGAATTTGAAATTTTTTACTTAACTGACAAAATATGATATAAAAAAGTTAACAAAATTTTTTAGTAGATGAGAAATATTAAATGTTATCACCTATAACATTAGTAAAACATTACATAAAACATAATTTCACCAAAATTTTTCTATATTATTTAAAATAAATAAACAAGAGCCGAAAAAATAAATAAACAAGAGCCGAAAAAATAAAATAAATAAGATAAAACAAATAGGACAATGAAAAAAATTATTATTGAAATAATCACTATTTTTTGAAGATCACATGTAATAAAAAAATTACAAAATTGCAAAAAATAAAGAAAAGCAATAATTCTGGTTAGTGGAGAATAATTATCTCTCAGCGAAAATTAATTCTCTCTACGATCTATAATATAAGGCCAGAATAGATTCTCTTCACTTTTCTTCGTGGTTGTTTCTCATCAAATCCAATAAGGAGCTTAGTTCCATCTTATATTCTCAACATCAGATTTCTTTCCCTAAATTTAATTTAAAAAAAATAAAAATTATTAATAAAAAAGATTTATTGGCGTCTCAATCTCCCTGAGTAGGTCAGGTTCCCCAGGGTACCCGTTGCACTACGTCCCTGAAACCATTCAACAAGGAACAGCCATTTGTGGGAACTCCATTCCTACATGTTACTCCGTTTCTCCCACCACCTCCGCCACAGTCCTCCTCTCTACGCCATGGCGCGTGCCGTCACGTGCGTCACTCACCCCACTCATTTCTGTCCCGCATCCGATAGGGCCATCTCTCCCGGTATCTCTCTGCTGAAATCCCCGCTTTTCCGCCGCAGCTTTCACGCGCTTGCCCGGTGCCGGAATGAAGGGACGCGTAGCCTCGCGTCGGGAGTTCGCGCCGAACAGAGGGAGTATTTCAAGGCGAGGAGGCGGAGAGCGCACAAGAACAAAGAGAAGGAGATGCAACTCCGGGTGGACATTTGCCTTGAAGAAAATTTGCCTGACGATCCCGAAATCTTGGTACTCATTAATATTTTAGTTTGTTAAGTTAATAGGGATTTATAAGAGAAGAAATAAAGGCAATGAACAAATGTTTTTTAGGATAAAAAATTGAGTTTGAAAAATATTGATTTTGAAAATTTTTTGTTTGGAAGAGATGCTCTTAGAAGATTATAAGACACGTTAATGAAAACACTTGCTTAAGTACTTGGACTTACATGACAAGTTCAAATAAACTCCATCTAAAGAGATATTTGTATTTGAGTTCTGCATTATGCATTCTTATTTGGTCTCTTTGTTTTTACTGGGTACAGAGCGTTGCGGAGTTGCTTCGACTAAATGCTCCAATGGTAATGAAACTGGCGCTTGATGGTTTGGAAAGTCCGAGGTATAAAACACGAGACACTGCTATAAGCTCTATTGGTGGGTTTGATAGTGTTGAGTTGTCAATACTTCTTTGCAATGATGAGTTTATTCGAAAACTTAATAAGGAATGGAGAGACGAAGACCATGCCACAGATGTTCTCTCAATGTCACAACATATACCTGAGCTCAAGATTCCTATTGTAAGAATTGCATTATCTAGCTGATTATAAGTTGCATGGGGTGTTGTTGACAATGAGTAAAATTTAGAACCTAATGTTTGATGCTAACTGCGTGATGAATTGTATACAGCTTATGTTGGGTGATATTGTAATTTCTGTTGAGACAGCGGCAAGACAAGCAGAGGAAAGAGGGCACACTCTTCTTGATGAGATCCGAATCCTCATGGTTGGTTTCATGATATTCTGACTATTTCCTGTCTGGTACTGAACATTTTTGTGTTATATTACGTAGCTGTCTTCTGCTACCAGCATAACTGGAAAGTGAACTGGAGTTCAAAAAGATAATACCATGAACATGTTGGAATGTATCTTCTAATACTCTATGTCTATGTTGTGTGAACCGAAAGATGAACTTGAGAGAATATCAATTACTTCATCTTTTTGCAGATTCATGGCTTGTTACATCTTTTGGGATTTGATCATGAAATAAGTGAAGAGGCTGAAGAAGAAATGGAGAGAGAGGAGGAAATCCTTTTAAAGAGTGTTGGTTGGAAAGGAAAAGGGCTGATAAAGAATGCTTGTGATGCTGAAACAAATTTAAATTCAAATTTTCATCAAAACAGTTCAGATGGTAATTATATTTCTTACTATTACACCTCAGCTATCCTCATGCATAATTTATATTCATTTGCATAAAATGTTTACGGGGAATAATCTTATAGATGAATTGTCAAAAGACAGGAAGAAAGAAGGCAGTCTTAGATTTTACAAACCAAAGTTCAGCTATATCTTCTGTGATATGGATGGTATGATTGCAGTGAAACATACACCTTAGATATTCCTTCACCTTTTGTCTGGATTTTAATAGACTTTTGTATTGAACAAAGGAACATTGCTGAACAGCAAAAGTCAAATTTCTTCTACAACTGTCAATGCTTTGAGAGAGGCATCATCAAGAGGTGTGAAAATTGTGATAGCTACTGGAAAAGTAAGACTAATATATCCATGATTTTTTGGGGTAGCATGTTAATATAGATTGTTTATTCTATATTGGAAAATACATATAATGCTTGGTTTTTAACACTCTATGTAGCTTGGCATATTTTCTTATTGAAAATGTGTTTTGATCATTACTGTTGAAATTTGCAAATTAGGCTCGTCCAGCTGTGTTAGACATCTTTAAAATGGTTGATTTAGCTGGAAAAGATGGCATTGTTTCAGAATTTTCTCCTGGGGTTTTCTTACAGGTAATTAATTTTCTCTAATTTTTTAATGTTCATGAGTCTTCTTGATTTAGCAAGGCTGTCGTAGCTGAAAGTATTGTTTAGTTATAAACCCTTGTCTTACACATTTATACGGTTATTTATGTACAAGATTTATCATACATGTAACACAATATTCTCCATCAAAATTTACTGTAAACAAATATCATTAAAATAGACCAACAATAATTTTGGAAAAAGGTATTAGAGGTGAATTGAATTTTCCAAGATAATTGTGTGTAATGTACTGATCTCCCTATTTGTCCATCTTCAACTACTTAATCTTTTCCTTTTAAAGTTAAAGTTGCACCACTTAATGACTCTTTCATTTTTCTCATCTTCCACCTAGTATAGGTTGCAGCTCTCCAACCCCGGAAGCCTCAAACAGAAGCTCAATTCAGTGTGCTATCAATATC